CAAAATCTGTCTTACATAGCATGTCGGATTAGACAGGTTTCACTGTATTAAAGATATTCATGAAATATAATTAGGAACGTTTGATGTTCATATGTTCTGCAGTAGAATATATGCAAGATTATGCGTCTCTAAGGAGATTACCTATCTTTCTCCATGCATGCAGTATTTTGAATGAATGAGCAAATATATTCCATTAATTTTCTAAACAATAATTAATTCAATGGATGTTCTTGGTCCTTTTTAATTTTATGGAAAAAAAATAAGCTTAATATTTGACGGTTGAGGTACTTGATATTTCTTTCCACAAATTGAATTATATAATTAAAGCTTAAATTTGTACGTGTCCAAAGAAACACAGTGATGCCAGGTTCCTGTCCTTACTGGTCTAACTTTTTTATCAAGGGTGTTTTATGAAGTTAAAGTCAAATAATCACACTATCATTTTCACTTATTGCAACAAATAATCATTTAAAAAGAAAAAAGTAGAGGTTTTCCGATTTTCAATTTATTTATAAGATCTGTCATCAAAGACATATCTACACTGTATATTTTTTTCTCGAGTTGAAACCCAGATAGGTGTTTGTTAAGACATTCTACATTATGCGCTGTACGGATATTTATACATATTAAAAAAAAAACTATAGACAACTGCTCGGTACATAAGTAAATAAAAGAGAAAAAGTTTTTTTGGAGCTAATGTTTAAAAAAAAAAAGTTTGTGAAACACTGATGTCCCCGTATGGTAGCAAACGGCAACGGTTGTCATGTTAAACTCAAAGGTCAAGGTCAAGAGGTCATAATTGTTGATACTGAAAAAGGCCTTGTCAAAATGAATACAACTGTGAAATAAAAAAGTCATAAAAGAACCAACTCTTTAATTACGAGGGGTGATCTAAAACTTCGGAAACTAATTGAATTACTTCCTTAAAAGATATAAAATGAGGTTTCTGTGTTCATTATTTTTTTGAAATTTAAAGTTTAATTCGCATTCCAATATATTTTACAATAATTTACTAAGCTTTTTAATATATCGGTAAACAACAAGAATTGGCTATGTCTGTAGTTAATACTACATTATATCGGTAAACAACAAGAATTGGCTATGTCTGTAGTTAATACTACATTATGTCGGTATGGTAGCAGTGTTTCATCTGAAAGAAAACCTGTTAAAATCCAATTATAGTGTATAATATGCATCCCTTTCTAACAAAAAAAAAAAAAACAAAAACAACCAAACAAACCAAATGTGTTTTATATTCTTCCAAATGTGGTAGTTCACAATTGATCGATTATAATTTATTGTTTAGATAATAAGTCGTGATTATGCTCTCGTCTCTTACCGGTTCTTTGTTTTGATATAAGCAGCGATTAAAAAAAATAAGACGGTTTTGAAAATAAGCCCCCACTTTCTTACCAAAACTTAAAATAAGCCTGCTGCAATAGTGCCTGTATAGCCCCCCGCTGTGTCCGTATGGCCCCCATGAATAGAGGTCTTTGTACCCCGAAATATGTACAGATAGCCATCATATTTAAAGAGAGGGTCTACGTATAGCCCCACATGAATAGAAGTCTTTGTAACTCAGCTGTGTCCGTATAGCCCCCATGAATAAAAAAGACATATAGCCCCCCCCCCCCCCCGAGGAGGAGTCTATATTTATAAATAATCACTATTAAACCATTAGTATTTTTTAAGTGTACATATAGCACCGAGACAAAGAGGAGGAGCAAAGCTGGAAAAAAGTCATTAAATAATGGAATGTCAATATAAATGGGAAGTCTATGTGATTTCTAAATCAAGAAATCGACAGAAAATTATGGAAAGTGATTGGTGTAAAAATAAAGAACTTTGTCAACAAACGTTTAAAGTAGGTGTATCTGAAAAAGGCATTGATATGCCAAATGATTATGATGTAAAAGCTTACATCATAAAAAGAAAGGAAATTAAAATGTAAGAAGTAAAATACTGGTGAAAAAAAAGGAGGAGGGGAAAAGAGGTGTGTCTTAATGTAAAATGGATTATATATATATATATATAAGCAGTGCAAGTTAAAAGTAGTAAAATACGCATTTATTTGAGAGACGAAAAGAAAATAACCATGGATTGTCTGGAAAGAGAAACATTTATGTCACAGAAAAGACCATTTGATCAAGAAGATGAAGAAAAGGACATAAAGAGACTAAAACCGTATAATGAAAATACGATTATAGAACTAGACATTGGAAATAATTGTCACGTGTCAGCACAGAGATTCCGATCCGAAGAAGATGTGTTCATACATATAAGATACTTTAACACGAGTCCCACAGGAAAACTATATCCATCGAAGAAAGGGATAGCGCTTCCACTGGACAAATTTAAACAGCTAATTGAAGACCACTTGAATGACATAGACAATGCGTTACAAGAGGCAAAGAAAGACGATGGAAAAGTCTTCTACAAAAAACATCTCGGGCAAAACATATATGTGGCTGTGGAACAGGGATACACGTGGGTAGATATAAGGAAATGGTGGCGCCCAGAGAATGCAGTAGAAGTTATGCCAACCAAGAAGGGGATATCACTACCAGTTGTGATGTGGGAAGAATTCAAGAAGGCAATACCCGAACTGAAGAAAATGTTGAAAAATGAGTTAGACAATGTGAGATACTGTTATCTTGATGATGACAATCAATTGGCAATGTTACAGTGTAAGAGCTGTAATCCAAATGAATGGATGAATTATTAACTGTACACAAAGGGACAGGAAAATAAAAAAATAATGTATATGTATCAGAGACATTTTAAAACACGTGTTTTTGTATCATTTTTTGTAATGCATTACATTTGAGAGATAGAAATGAAATATTTAAGTAAAATAAAAGAGCTATGAAATAATATTCGTTATGTTTTATTTGACTCAGGAAAGATATTTATTTATATGAAATGATTTTTTATTATCAGTAATAAACATGCTGTCAAAAGAGGAGGAACGTTATTTAAAGAAAATATGGACTATTACAAAACACCCAGCTGCATTTAATGGTCCATATAAGTTATACCAAATAGTGAAACGTGAAGGAAAATATAAAATCGGTTTACATAGAATCAAACCGTTTTTATCAGACACAGATGCCTACTCTCTGCAAAAAAGAGTACAAAGGACATTTGCTCGACGTCATATCATAACAGATTCAATAGATTCGATATGGGACGGAAATTTACAGGACGTCAAGAATATTTCAAAATACAATGACGGAACACAATACATTTTGGTATTACAAGACATTTTTTCAAGATTTCTATTTACAGCACCGCTGAAACAGAAAACAGCAGCAGAAGTCATAAAAGGTTTGCGGTCAATATTCGAAAAAGGACGAAAACCTAAGGTACTGAGAACGGACAAAGGAAACGAATTTAAGAACAAATGGGTTAAAGCATTTTTAAAGAAAGAAAATGTTCATCCGATTTATACGGAAAACGAGACGAAAACTAGTCTAGCCGAACGAAGTATCCAAAAATTAGAGAACATTTTACACAGAATGTTTGTTCAGAAGCAGTCGTACAGATTTGTAGATGAATTGGCAAATATCACTAAAAGCATAAACGCTACACCATCCAGGCCACTTGGAAACATGGCTCCAGTAAATGTGACGAAGGAGACGCAAGAAGAGGCAAGATACAATGCATATATAGAGAGAACAAAGCGAGACAAATATGCAAGACAAGAAAGAGTTTCCGTAAAAGGAAAGAAAAGACGAAAACAATATAAGTTCAAAATAAACGATCAAGTTCGAATATCACATTTAAAACATAAGTTTCAACGAGAATATGATCAGAAATGGACAGGAGAGATATTTGTAATTACAGACAGATATCGTCGTCAAGGTACTGAGATATATAAACTGAAGGACTATACAGATGAACCAATTTCCGGTTCATTTTATGCACAGGAACTACAGAGAGTCAATAAAAAGGAAGACACTGTATGGAAAGTTGATAAAATCCTGAAAGAGCGGACAAGAAAGGGTGAGAAAGAAGTATTAGTTTCATGGTACCAGTGGCCTTTAAAATATAATTCGTGGATTAAAAAATCAGAATTGATTGACGTGTAAAATACCATTGATGATGGATATCCGAATGCTTCTAAAATCTTCAGATAGCCTCACTTTGTTTAGCAATAATAAGCCTCATGACTTTTACGTTCATCTTCCCAGACCTCTTACGTTAACAGGATACTGGTCAATATCATTATTGGAGGCATGTTTACCATCAAGCAAGATCAATACGGATGTTTATATCTATACCAATTTATGCGAAGACACAATTGTTGGTGATAAAGAACTCCCATTATTAAGGCGTGTCTATTTAAACACAAATCCAAATAAAATATTCACATATCCTTACGAAGTATCCACGAGACTTGGACAAGTACACGATGTGCACATATATATAAAGGATGCAGGCGGACAAGAGGCCTCATTTTTACAAGGAGAAGCATCAGTGACACTGCTGTTGAAGTGAAGAAGTTTATAAAGAAAAATAATCATGTCTGGGTCAACGTATGTGTCCGATCCACGAATATGGAAAACATTTTACAAAAATATGGTAGAGGGACAGATTAATCCAAGAGGTTATAAAGGGAGACAATCTGGCAGTGAAATTACTGGAATATATTCAAAGAAGCCTTACATGATACCCGTTAATCCACATATCACAAAAGAAGAATCTAAGGATGTTGTGGGGAAGAAGGTGACACCAATGGCAGCCGTAGAAGAGCGCGCAAAAGAAGAGTTACGAGAGGAAATAAGAGACAATGTTCCTCACATCCCAGTAGGGACTATAAAAGCGGAAAACAAGCAGAAGTCATTCAGTTCTCATTCAGACGTTAAAAAGAAGGCACGGAAAAGAACTGCAGAAAAATCTGCACAATAAACTACCAGAAAACGCAAGGCGGGAGAAACAAGTTTGGATTCTAATATTTTTACCTCCAAGAGAGCAAGGAAATAATTGCATGGTCAGAGATGGCTTTCCTTAGTGACAAAATTACTGAAATCGGTCTGCCTGCCGAACTATCTTTATTTACTGTTCCACCTAACCAAGTTGCAGTAGAAAAAATATATTTTGCAGAATACAGACCAGTATCATCATTTAACACAGAAGATGCCCCGATTGAAATTTCCATACCTGGTCAAGGAAACGAGTACATTGACTTGCGGAGGAGTCGCTTACACGCAAAATGCAAAATCGTTAAATCAGACGGATCGCCATTAGCAGCCCAGGAGAAAACGGGAATCGTTAATCTCCTTTTGCAATCACTATGGTCCCAGATAGACACATATATGAACGGAAAGTTACTGTCTCTGAACACTAGTTATTACCCATGGAAAGCTTATCTAAAAATCATCTTGTCCAGTGGCACCGATGTCTCAGACTCGCAATTACAATCTCAACTATTTTTCTTAGACGATGCAACGATGGACGATGGGAATGCAAACGGTGGAACAAACGGCGGTTTGGCACAGCGGTATACATTTACACAACAGAGCAGAGTGTTTGATTTAGAAGGGCCTTTGTACGAGGACATTTTCCGTTTAGATAAATACATATTAAATGGTGTCGACATAAACCTAAAATTATTTCGTAACCGAGCACCCTTCCTTGTAATGAGTGCAGAATCTTCTCCAACATACAAAGTGGAACTGATAGATGGATCATTTAAGGCATGTATGATTAAAGTGGACAGTGGTGTTTTAATCAATCATGAAGAAATATTGAAAGATATCACTGCAAAATACTCCTTAGTGAGAACAGAGGTGAAAATGAACACGTGTCCCAAGGGATCAGGGAGTTTTATCTGGCAGAATGTATGGTCCAATAATCTACCAACGAAGGCGTATTTTGCCTTCATATCGCAAGCTGCCGTGATTGGTGACTACTCAAAAAACATTTTTAATTTCCAAAATTTAGCAGAAGATATTGCAGTGTACGTGAACGGTGAAAGCATTCCTGCAAGACCCATGAAGGTTGACATCAGAGCCAATAAGAATTACGTTACACCATTCGTGAATCTTTTTGAAGTGGCCGAAAAATGGAACAAAGACGCTGGCCTCAAAATTACAAGATCAATGTTTGACGCAGGGTATGCTGTGTATGCTTTCAGTCTAGCCCCAAGTGACCTTGGAGAAGCCTATTTAAACCTGATTCGCCAGGGAAGCGTCAGATTAGAAGTAAAATTTGCGGCTAATACAACAGAGACGCTTAACTGTTTAGCTTATGCAGAATTTCCGGCTTTAATCGAGATAGATCATTCCAGAGATATCAAGTATACCCGAGTATGAATTCCCAAGAATTAAGAGCATTTACTGCACGAAACAGACACGTATCAAACGTGACAAGAGGAGTATTTGCTTCCAACACTTTACCTGAATCAGTACCCATTTACCCTTCTGCTTACATATGTAATACCGACCCTTCACATCTGCCGGGAACGCACTGGGTGGTGCTTTGGATTCACAGCGAGAAATACGCCGAATTTTACGACAGCTTTGGAAAGTCTCCACGCCACTATGGGGAATCGTTTGATGTTTTTATCCGAAACAATTGTGATGTGTGTATGTACAATAATGTTCCGATTCAAAACAAGGACAGTGACACGTGTGGTTATCATGTATTGTTCTATTTGTGGATGAAATGTTATAATTATTCGTTGCCTCAAATTGTACATATATTACAAAGAAATAATAATCCAGACAAGTATGTCCAAGAATTTGTCAATAAATATCATTGAAATAAAGAAAAAGTCTTTTTTGTTTAAAAAAAAAATACAATTTTTACGACATAAGAGACTCGTCATGTCACGTCAGTGAGCAGTTGATATCAGACATTGGAAGAGGAAACAACTACAATGCACTGGTGGAAAGAAAAATCTCTTTTACCGTTTCGGTCACCTACAACCTGTCTTGTATCGGGTGCAACGATGTCTGGAAAAACGCATTTTATTTATCGTATATTATTAAATGCAGGGGGGATGTTTGAAATACATCCTCAAAAAATTATATATTGTTATAGTCAGTATCAGCCCCTCTTTGAAGAAATGGAACAAAAGATATCTGATCTTGTCTTATTTCAAGGATTACCTTCAAAAGATCAAATAGAAGAATGGGCGGAGGGCTCCACACATACGGTGTTAATTTTGGATGATTTAATGACTCAAGTGTCAAAAAGCGAGGAAGCAGTGGCGATTTTCAGCATCACTGCACATCATAAGAATTGCACAGTGTTTTTCTTAACACAAAATCTATTCGTGCAGTCCAAACATTTTCGCAGTTTATCATTAAATTGTCATTACATAATATTATCTCGTTCTTTAAGAGATTCGAGACAGATATTGTCATTCGGATCTCAAGTGTATCCGGGTCAATCTGCCTATTTTAAAGATGCATATCAAAAAGCAACATCCAAACCGTATGGCTATTTACTCGTTGATATGAATCCTGCTACCGAAGACAGATATAGACTGCGCACGCACATATTTCCGGATGAAGACACTATAATATTTTCTCCCAAATAAGTAATAAAGACAGAATTTTTATATCGTATTTGGAGAACCATGAGTCAACTGGTAACATCAAATGCTTCTTTCATCAAGGTGTTATACTCTGCCGATCCGAAGCAAAGAAAGGCATTATTAAAGACTATGACAGAAAATCAACAGCAGGCATTGTGTGAAATAATTCTAAACGTCTACAAGGGAACTTTTCCACTCTCAAAGTATTATATTAAAAGACTGCTTCCGTATCAGAACGCCATTCATTCTCTCAGCAGTAGGAAGGTAAAGAAGAGTGTTAAACGGAAAATTCTGTTACAAAAACATTTAGCACTTCCTATCTTAATAAAACCGGTACTGAGTGTGCTGAATGATGGCTCGGGAATTAATTCTAATACCAAGAGAAAAGTATAACATGATGTTAAAGGAGAAAGAGCCAACAATTGTGAAGAATATGAACCATGATGAAGTTTTACCAGTCGCGGCAAAGAAGACGAAACAAAGAAAGGTCATTAAAAGATTACCAGTCGCCGCAAACACACAGAAAACGGAAAAGAAGACGAAACAAGGACAGGTCATTAAAAGACAACGTGGACAAGGATTTATTGTGAAACAAACAACAGATGGACCTCCTCCCGGATTTAATCATCGTGACAAATTACGACAAAAGAAGGAACGAAAAACAAAAAAGACTCGTGTACAATGGCTCAAACTTTAATATATATGACTGTTTCACAAAGGTGTTTTTCGAATAACTATAACATATATTGTGCGTTCTTTGTATAAAACAATAAAAGAAAAAAACGTAACTGTGATTATATACAGGTTAATAGCCAAAGGGTAATGTATCATAAGAGTCTTTTTGCATTGCTCGTTTGGAATACACAAGCTGATATTGTTTGTTTTCTACACTATTATAAACTTTAACAGAACGTTTAGCTCTAGTAATTTTTTGAGGGTTAGTGACAGTCAATGTTTTGCTCTGATCACCTGTTACAATATCTAACATGGATGTAAAGTTCAAGGATTGCGCATTTTTATAATTCAAAGAAAACCCACGAATGCGACAAACCTGTTGACCTTTAAACGTATTAAAGGCATAATTTTTTGGTCCACCGGACACGAATTCCGTGATGTAATCATCAGTAAACAATTCATTAGTCAATTGACCTAGATAAGGCCCGACATTGGGCTCGTCATCACCCACTTTGCTTACAAATATTACAGAATCTGTATCAAAATATAATACACGCGTGTCGAGCATGTCTAAAACGTCGTACCATTTCAGTCTTGCCCAACAGGTGGTAAAAGCCGCGATAAAAATATTTGTCTGATAATCCTCTTTCAATAATTCGCCACTACTTTTCCAGGTCATATTTATCATGTCTTCATTGATAATATGAAAGTCAGTGACCTCTTTAGAGGGATCAAAAAGACACCTGAAAAATTTATCGGCTTCAGTCTCGTGGAAAAAAGAAGTCTGGGGCATATTTAAACGTTGACCAAATTTTCCCCAAAATGAGTTTAGTAATAGTTTAGCGATAGATCGCAAAGCAGGGTTTTTATAAATGGAATCATGATGCAATTCTATATTTTCTTTTTCTGCATAACTCCGAATATATTGCAGCGCGTCATCCTCAGTTTGAACCCACTCAGGCCAACCGCTAGCTTCTTGTTTCAATTTCAGAAATAGATCGATATATCCTCCAAAGAGGTCATTATGCGGATCATTGGGTGACGAGACGTTATCAAAGTGATAAATCTCGTAAATTTTGAGGATCTGATAACCTTTTTCAACAGCCCGGTTAGGTTCTGGCGTACACCATGACCCCGTTAAACACCTGTCTTCGTCATCGCAAGTACACAGCGGTTGTCTCTCTTTTTCCGCACAAGTCCGACACAGAGTAAACATTAACTTGTCATTAATTTTCTGAGGTAAAACTGGATGATATAAATTGCGAGGGGGGAGGATTTTTACTTTGGCAATACCAAAATAGTCTTGAATGCTTGTGAAATTATTATGATTTTGGGATGTCCGAGAGGGTACACGCAATATTTGTTGACAGAAGGATAGAGAGAACAAAAATCTAAGTAGTGAATTTTTTCTCCATCAGTAACTTTTTTATATAATTTAACCGCATTTGTTCGTCCTCCAAAAAAGCATCTCTGGGATTAAGTCGTTCTTGGAGCTCAAGAGAATTTACAAAGTCGGACATTTCAGGATTGTCTTTTATTAATTGTACAAATTCGTGTTCCCATATTGACACGAGTTGCATACCCAAAGATTTGATATATTTTTCTTTTTTTCTTGTCAAAGCATATAATTCGTCTAAAGTCTGATTTGTACGGGGCACTGTCATTCGTCGTTTTTCAGATTTAGAATAACACGTGGGGCACCCGTGCCAGAGACAACCATTAAATTCATAAGCAGTGTTTGTTTCTATGCAATACCCATCTAATTTGTACTTTGAATTTGGAAGTTTATACTCCCCCTCATTAAGGGCATGTCTTATATAAAGAGGTTGAATCCCTTCCCTATCTTCCTTTTCCATTAACCATTCTAACCAAGAAATGGAAATTTTACTAAATTGATCTCTGTGGTAGCCCGCAGAAGGTACCTGTGCCAAAGGGCTGCTGATAAATTCTGTATCCTCAATGAAAATGTCATTCTCCTGCATATCTTGAGCCTTTGTCCATCCTTTGTCGGGAATATCTACGTAGATATCCCCATCTAAGCGTTTACCCGGAAACCACCCCAATACTTCACTTTGACGACTAATTTTAACTTTAAGTTCTTCTTGCAAAAATTTAGTTTTATAGACCGACATGCATACGCTAGCAATGGTAATATGATTAAAGGGGTCAACACTACCGTTTAAGTAAGATTCTATATTTCCGTCTTCATTCAGGTCAAAATCAACTTTACCCGTTATGTTCATTAAGATATCTCTAAACTTCAAACAGGCTTGACGAAGGATACCTACGTCACTACGACAATAATCAACGATTTCCTTCGCAAAATCAAATATTTCCCGACTTTCAATTTTAGACCGATGTCACGTCAAGAAGGCACTGCGATCTTTGTCACTCATAGTGTCACATCCGTACTGATTAACGTCTGGGTAACTGCCAACGTAAGTTGAAAATGAGGAAAATAGCCTTTTTTTAGCTCCTGTAAATCAAAAGCTTTGGGCAACTGTGATAATTTGGTCGGTAAAAAATTATACGAATCGATGACTCGAATGTTTAATTTATTTGCCACCTGGATATACATGATTTTTGAACCCGAATAGATGACCTGAGGAACAATAGAATTTGCAATGAGATACTCTAGCAAAAAATATCCGTCGTAACCTTTCATATTATGAGCAATAACGGTGTAATGTTTGTTCTGCTCCGAAAAAAGCCACTGACCAAATTTTCTCTGTACGTTTTCCCCGCGAAAAACAACTTCACGAAAACCGCAGGTCTCCTCACAAGGATTCTTACTAAAACATTTATTTTTCTTTATCGTAATGGTTACACTGGGGACATCGCGTTCCGCAGAAGTGACATCTCGAGATCGGAGAAACGTTTTCATCGACACACATATACAGACCTTTTGTGCGATAACTAAATTTGGGACGTGTTCAAATTTTCCACAGTGAGACTGTTGACAATTTGAACAGAGCGAACACAAGTCCGTTTCATTTTTACAGATTTTACATCTAGCTGCATCGTGATTATATCCGTCAGAGCACTGTAAGGTGCGTGCGCTTTGTGTGCATTCAAAATCGAAAAAAATGAAATTAGGCTTTGATTTTTTGCTTTCAGTTGCACGAATGTAGCACAAATTTGTAGAGTCTACATATTTACCACAACTTTTGCACAACCACTCAGCACACACGTGTTCATTTGGGTCTCTCACCTTTCGATCTATTACTTTCATACACGTCACACATTTCCACCACCGATCACACGACGACTCTTTTCTTTTACCTTGAGGTTGTAAGTGACTTTCGTAACATGATAAAGATCGACATGTCATGTGACAATTTTTACAAGATAACTGAACATCGGATACTCTACACCGTTGTTTTCTCTTGCAAACATAACAGGCAGACTCGCACTGATGTAAATTTCTGTAAGGGATTAAACAATCAGAACAAAACTTGGACTTGCCAAAAAAACCACAGATGTTTACAATAGCATCAAAATGAGAAGTTTTTTTTATCTGGGTCTTCAACCAAATGTAAATAAAGACGTTGTTTTTGACTTCCTTCAGGGGGAGTCTTAATAAATTTGTTTCCTCCGACAGCCCTTATAACTAAGATGTCTACATTTAAAAACTGTTCAAAAGCATCGATATCTGATAGAGCTAACGGTCGGTTAGTTGGTGTACCTGTCAACCTGCAGAGTTCGTGGGTAAGCTTTGTCTGTCGGTCCAGGTGATCATTACGAAAACGTAGCTTAGAATAGTACCAATTTGGGGCTTTCTTATGTTTCCAAATTAATTTTTCTGTGCAATCATCATCATCTTCGTTGATGAGTCCGTGCCATTCTTGGGTTGGAACTGTATTCGCTTTCACGAATGCCATAGCAATAGCACGAGCCATACAGGTGTTATCCTGATTGTTAATTTTTAAAATCGATCTTTTTCTTGCACCAGAACAATAAGGTCCTGTAAGATGTTGAATGGCACGCCCTCGACCTCCTGTATTTAAAATTAAAAATAAAGTTAGATAAATAAACTCTGAAAATGACGAAAGAGGCAATGTAAAAGTGGTCTAAAAATTGGTATTTTTCTTATGACCTTTCTCCAATGACAGAAGAGGATTTACGGTATAATGATATGGATTTGAGATATGAAGACAATAAGAACTTAAATTATATCGTATGGTCTTATTCAAAAAAAGATTTTCAGACATTCCACGTTCAAGGGTATATTCGTTTTAAATATCCGAGACAAAGACGAAATGTGCGTGGATTATTTCTTTTTCTGTGGTGTGACCCATACGAATTAAAAACGTGTTTTCATGTCCCTGGCACTGAATACAATTCGACGCACAGGAAATTACGAAGAACACGGATGTTTTAATGAACATTATTTAAGAATTCCAAGGTGGGCAGATTTAACTAGACTCAAAACTGTAGAACAATGTCCCATTTGTTTAGAAAACAAGGTGAAAAGTGATTTGAAATGTCAACAATGTCGTCAGTTTTCTTGCTGTAGACAGTGTTATAGGGAACTTGCCACCATACCAAATCAGCGATGTCCTATATGTCGTCATCAATAATAAAATTATGATTTTTTTTATTTTAGTGTGTTTGTTTATATACACAGTAGTATACTCACCAGAAGGTACTTCTATTGTACCAATGTCTACATAACACTTTCATCTAGGGGCATGTCCTCATGGCTGGTTAAAACATGATTAATATGATCCATTATCACCTCTGAAGTCATTCCTCCGACTTTTTGTAATGGCACGAATATTGGAGTAGTTAGAGTGTCAGAATGAATAATAACATGAATTAAATCAGTGTCATTGAGATTTTGTGTAGATTGTTCCAAAGTAGAACTAAACAAGTTTGACAGTTGATCTTGGACATCTTTAACTTTCATTTTAGATTGAGCCACCTCTTAATTCAATTTGACGACGTAATGTCGATCGATGGCTTTATTTTTCTTGAAAGTTTTCTCATTTAATTTGGTAAATGAATATCCGAGAGACTTTGAAGCTTGATCACTGGAACCTCCTCCAGTTTGGTTTTGATGTAACTCTTCGTGAAATCGAAATAATTTTTCATTATCACAAAATTCGGCCCCACACCATCTGCATTTTTGAATAAGCTGGGAATCTTCGGGTTGTTTTGCATTGTTTTTTTTCAATTTAGCTGGAATAAGTAAATTTAATTCCTCGATTCTTTCATGGGTATATTCATGAAAGCGATACGCAACATCATTCTCAAAACTTCTGGAACAGTAACGACATTGAAATGCCATCTTTTTTTTTTCCACCCTACAAAAATAAAATACATAAATAAATGAACTTTTTTTTGTTTAATTAGCCGCCGCCGCCGCCCCCCCCCCCCCTCCCCTCTTTTACGTATGGGTAGATCTTATGTGGAATGGGTAGATCTTTTTAGGTCACCTGAGTCACTCAGGTGACCTATTGCTATCTGTTTTTGTCCGTCGTCGTCCGTCGTCCGTCGTGCGTTAACATTTAAACATTTTCAGCTTCTTCTCTGAAACCGCTCAACCAAAGTCAACCAAATTTGGTATATAGTATCTATGGGTGAAGGGGAACAAAAATTGTGAATTTCATGGTCCCTGCCCCCCTGGGGCCTGAGGGGTGGGGCTAAAACCACAAAAATTAATGCAATCTTTAAAAATCTTCTTCTTTACTCCTGGACATCAAGCAGTCAAACTGTTGGCATGATTGTAATCAGCATTGAGCCCTCTACCAAAATTGTGAAATTCATGGCCCCAGGGTCAGGGGTTCTGGTGCTAGGGTGGGGCTATATAGATCATATAGTGAAAGTGCATTATTTCTTTGAAAATCTTCTTCTCTGCTCCTGGGTATTAGATAAACTAACTAAGTACATAGTTATGTTGAGCATAGCTGCCTCTTCCAAAATTGTGAATTTCATGGCCCCTGGGTCAGGGGTTCTGGTGTTAGGGTGGGGCTCTATTGATTATAATAATGAAAATGCATTATATCTTTGAAAATCTTCTTCTCTGCTCCAGGGTATTAAATAAATTAACTAAGTACATAGTTATGATGAGCATAGCTGCCTCTCCCAAAATTGTGAATTTCATGGCCCCTGGGTCAGGGGTTCTGGTGTTACGGCAGGGCTCTATTGATTATGTAGTGAAAATACATTATATCCTTGAAAATCTTCTTCTCTGCTCATGGGAATTAACTAAATTAACTTAGTACATAGTTATGATGAGCATAGGTGCTTCTTTCAAAATTGTGAATTTCATGGCCCCAGGGTCAGGGGTTCTGGTGTTAGGGCGGGGCTCTATTGATTATATAGTGAAAATACTTTAAATCTTTGAAAATCTTCTCCTCTGCTCCTGGGTATGAAATAAACTAACTAAGTACATAGTTATAATGAGCATGACTGCCTCTTCCAAAATTGTGAATTTCATGGCCCCTGGGTCAAGGGTTCTGATGAAAAGGGGGGGAGGCTCTATTGATTATATAGTGAAAATTAATAATTTCTTTCAAAATATTTTTTCTACTCCTGGTTATAAAGCAAAGAAACAAGTGTATAGTTATGATGAGCAAGAATGCTTTTACAAATTTTTTCAAACTTGTGGTCCCAGGAGTTCTGATGTTTCTCTAAAGGGGGGGGGGGGGGCTCTATTTGATTATATAGTGAAAATGTGTGAATTCTTTGAAAATCTTCAACTAATCGCATAGTTATGATGATGAGAGTTCCTCTTCCAAATCTGTAAATTTTCTTGACCCAAGGTCATGGGTTCTGGTGTTAGGGTAGGGCTGTGTTAAATAGTGAAAATGCGTTATTTCTTCGAAAATCTCCTCTGCTCCTGGGCATATTGGAAGCAAACAGAGTAAAAGTTTTAATGAGCAAGGGTATTTTTACCAGAATTCTGAAATTTGGACCATTTAGTCAAGTGTTCTGGTCCTGGCCAGGGATCTATTAATTTGTATTCTATTGAGTGAAGTTATTCCCCTTTGCCATTCACTTTTGATTATTAATCACTGTAGAAAATGTATTTGAAAGGTTAATAGAATAAGAGAATTATGCAAGAACTTTTATTGTATAATACAAAAAGTACTTTCATAGTTTTAATAATCAGGTAACTTGGAAATAATAGATGAATAAAAATGAAACAAAAATAACTTATCTTCTTAAATGTTCTGCAAAAGCCAAGTGAGGCCAATGTGAGAGGTAATAATATAGACATTTTATTAAAAGTCTGTATGGTAATAGTGGTAAATGGGGGACAGATAGAAAGATACTAGACCAATTATTTTTTTGATCATAATCATAGTATTTTTCTTGCTATTGGGCAACAAAGCTTCATTTATCAGTTTATGGATCCTCTAAATTGTTGTACTCAGGTGACCGATAAGGCCCTTGGGCCTCTTGTTTGATATGGGATTGCGTGTTAGAATGGCGATATCAAGTATATTTGATATTCCTCTCTCTCTCTCTCTCTTATCTACATAATACGCATTATCATCATATGTAGGTGACCTTTTACTGGACCCTTCCCACGTTGTTTTTTTTTTAGACTCGTCCGATCTTTTTTTCATTTTTGTTTGATACAGCAACAGTGTCTTTGATGTCATAATCCCCCCTTTCATCCTTTATTGTACTGGACTCGTCTTTTATAGTACTTTTTTTTTTGGACTATTCAACTTTTGTACCCGTGAGACATTTTTTTTCACTTTTCAACATGGCAGCCAGAGAAGCGACAGTGTTCTTTTTTTGTCTAACAGTGATCATGGGGATAAGTGCCGAATCTTGCAGAAGTGCAACTTTTTGTTGCACATCTGACTTTAATAAATGTAAGGGAGAATGCAGTTGTATTGTTTTCTCGTATAAGGAGATCCAAAGGCGTGTCCTTCACGTCGAGTTTTCTGCGGGGACACACCGCATTTTGTATGACACTGATGAGATGACGATTATTGACAGCGGTGTATTCCATCCTAGGCGAGGTAATGAATTTCTCTTTTTTTATATATAAAAAACTGATTTTAATTTTTAAAAGAAAATAAACGCAACATTGCTTTAAAAACAAAGAAGGTGTACAGACAGAGAAAAAAAAAAATTTTTTGTCTGTTTGTTTGATAGAATACTTTTTTTTAAAAAATATTTTTCTAGCATACTTTTTTTCATATTTTCCCAGAATACTTTATTTTCACTCTCTCATAACTTTTTTTAGTCGATAATGGCCATTCCTCCTCCTCCTCCTCCTCCTCCCAGTTGAAGACAACACAAGCGGGTATAAATTACTTTCTGTTTAAATTTTAAACGATGAATTGACATATTTTGTTTTTCTTTCTCTCTCTCTCTTATGTCACAAGAATCATTCTGGGTTTTTATTTTTTTAAAGCGACAACGAGTGAGCAGGGCGGCACCTCAGAATTGGTCACCCCATCGGCCTCCCCCCGCCCCCTGAGTACCGGACAAATTAAGTAATGTCTCTCTCTTTCTCTCTCTCTTTTTGGTTATTAATGAAATATACTTTTTAAAAAATTCTGTTTGATCTATTATATCCCCCCCCCCTTTTCCTTGTTTTTTTTAAAGCGTTTACGAGTGAGCAGGGCGGCACCTCAGAATTGGTCACCCCATCGGCCTCCCCCCGCCCCCTGAGTACCGGACAAAGTAAGTGATCATGTCTTTCTTTTTTCCCCCCTACGTAATGAATTATACTTAAAAAAATTCTGTTTGGTCATTTAATTTCCCCCTTTCCTTTTTTTTTTAAAAGCGACAACGAGTGAGCAGGGCGGCACCCCATCAGCCTCCCCCCTGAGTACCGGACAAAGTAAGTTATGTCTCTCTCTCTTTCTCTCTCTCTCTTTGGTTATTAATAAAATATACTTTTAAAAAATTTCTCTTTGATCTTTTATATCCCCCCCTTTTTTCCTTGTTTTTTTTTTTAAAGTGCTTACGAGTGAGCAGGGCGGTACCTCAAAATTGGTCACCCCATCTGCCTCCCCCGCCCCCTAAGTACCGGGACAAAGTAAGTTATCTCTCTCTCTCTCTCTCTCTCTTTGGTTATTAATGAAATATACTTTTAAAAAATTTGTTTGATCTTTTATATCCCCCCCCCCTTTTCCTTGTTTTTTTTTTAAAGTGCTTACGAGTGAGCAGGGCGGTACCTTAAAATTGGTCACCCCATCTGCCTCCCCCCGCCCCCTGGGTACCGGACAAAGTAAGTGATCATGTCTTTCTACGTAATGAAATATACTTAAAAATTTCTGTTTGGTCATTTAATTTCCCCCTTTCCTTTTTTTTTTTAAAAAGCGACAACGAGTGAGCAGGGCGGCACACCAGAATTGGTCACCCCATCTGCCTCTCATTCATCTACAGGACAAAGTAAATATCATGAAATTTTTAGACAAAAATAAATATACATTATGTGTTTTGCGTTTTTATATATACAATTTGATAAAAAGAAAATTATATGTAGACTACGGAACTCGGAAAAAACACATGTTTTTCCGTTTACCGATTCTCTGTCGCATTAAACCACAGAGCATCTTTTCCACTCTGTTCTAAATCGAAAGTAGCACACGATCCTTTTAAACTAAGTCAAAAAAAACACACAACTTACTTGAGAAAAGTTACACAAATCCTGAAATGAACTAGCGCAAATGATGTCTTAGTACTTATCCAGGCTAAAAATATTCCATATATATCCATCGAAAATAGCTTTTAGCCAACGAAAATCCCAGCTTTCTGCACAGTGTGCAACTCTTCGCCCAAGAAACTCGGATGACAATAGGGTAGTACCCGAGGTCTTCCGAGCGCATTTTTATTATGTGAAGTAGAGAACAGAGTGGATAAGATGCCCCTGCGATTAAACAAAGTAATACTGATAGTTTCTTTAATTTTTCTGTCTCATCCAATTTTAATTTTCTGACTGTGTGATACTACAGGTTATGGAACACAAGCAACACATGTATTTCTCAACACCAGTTCTCTGGCGTATACAAAAAACAGCACTGAACAAAGTAATACTGAAAATCATTTCTTTAATAATCAATCACTTGGCATTTTCTTTTCTCTTTTTTTAAATTGATTAATTTCCTAATTGTGTAATTTTGTTTTTCTTTTCAGACACAAACTCAACAGTAATAGTTTTTCCTTTATATATCAATAGCACCTTACCTACTTTTACTAGACCTACACAGCATGGCTTTCTGTATCTGAGCTTTTTGTCCTTTTTAATCATACCTGTTGTAGCCTTTCCTTTATTCTTTTTAAAACGCTATAAACGCATCAATAATAAGCATAAATTAACTCAAAGCATATGTTTAGCTCATGCAAATGTTTACAGACAAACATCAATTACTTTATTAAATGATCAAAATCTGATCTATCGAAATGAAGATGATCCAAATGAATCTTCAACAGATACTTTTTCATTTCATTCATCCATGTCTTCAAATATATACGAAGAACCGATATCAAGTGCATAGTCGTTTAAATGTTTCAATTGCATAAAACTTTCTATTGTGCACGCTTTTATTATCCATTGTTGCTTTATATCCTTTGTTTACGTCTTTTCTTTGTTTGTGTAGTCGCATCTATCGTCCTCGGTGTCACCCTCCCTACCGGCCTTGCATTTGTTATCATTTGTGTGGTGTATCGCCGCCGCCGCCGCAACCGCCACCTGATTCCGGCTGACATTCCCATAGTGGAGTTGGTTCCCCGCTACATAGATGACGAGGAGGACACTACTGAGGATGAATTGATTGTCGAGTTTGACAAGTTGGCCTTGGGGGCGGCGAAACGGAGAAATCCTAGAGACCCGTCAGATGCAAGTCCTGCGGTAACTAGGGCCCAGGCAAAGTATAAGAATTTGAAATTTTTTGGGGGTCTTCTTTGATTTTTTCTTTTCATTTGTATTTTGTGGAACAAAACTCATGATTTTTTCATATTTTTATACATTCCTGAATACATCTTTTTACATTATCCCATATCTTCGTAAATTACATGTTTAGTTGAAAATTTACACTGTATCACTTTTTTTAAGGATATGCGATCCTCAGCCATAAAGTATAATTCTTTTCATTTATTACAAGTTTGAACAATTGCTTTGGGTAAATTTACATTACTTTTAAGAATTCAGGTACATTTTTGTGATCATTTTTCAATTATTTAATGTCTGGATTTTAAATCCTGTGGATCGAACGACTATATATTTAAGAATTGTCACGTTCTTTACCAATGTATTAATAGTCAGGAAATACTTAGTTCTTTCATATTGCTTTTTTAAGTAAAATTAATGACACATCTTTGTTTAATAACTTGTCTATGAACTTTACGGACAACCCTATATAGGAGAAAGATGACTTTGTTTTAAAAGCATCGTTTATATATTGATGCTAACTTATTTACCTCATTGTTCTGAAGTTTATATAATTGAACTATAATGGTATTGTTTGTTCATATTGCTTTAACGCTTTAATGAAACTAAACTTTTATTAATGTACATTCCCATAACGCGTTTTGAACTTTGTTCATGCACATTCCCATAACGTGTTGTTTCCATATATCTTGATATTAATAAATGCCTTCTGACTTACATTGTTTTGTTTTTTGTTTCCTTGTGTGAGAAAACATAAACTATTATAGAAAGTGTTTGTATTCCTTCAGTGGCATGGCATATATTTGAGCATTTATACATGCTACTGTGGACTGAATTACCCTGGAGTTGAACTGAAATTTACTTGGCCACCCTCAGAGTGAAACAAAAGCCTACTTTTTATCATCATAATAAAACTACTGTATTATATATATATATATTGATTTGATAATGTCAATCTGCCGATGATTTCCAGTATAAATCAATGGAGATAACTCTATTTTGTTTTGTTCTAAGCGTTATCAGATTGTCCCGCTTTCTTCTTGACAAAATCAGTGAATTTGAATAGGGAAAATGTCGTGCACTAAACATTCTGTATAGACTTTCAGACTCCCTTAACTTTCTCGTTTCTCCACTGTTTTTTTTTTTTTAAATATCATTTATTTGACTTCGTAAAACTTTGTGAACCTACATTTCTCCTTAATTTTTTTGGATAGTTGTCAGAAATGGATTCAGCAATGCAAGTATTTTTTTTTTTTTATAACTTTTTTTCTTAAAAAAAATGATTTCTTTAAAATAAAATAGGCAATGACTGACAAGCTTTTTTAAAAATCTCTTGTAGTTTTATAGAAGAAGTATTTCTCTTAGCAGCCGCTCTGCCGTATGAAATACGGTACCGGATTTACATGATGGTGTGCCTTTGGAATAAAGATGTTCAAAATTCTAAACAAGCAGTTCTGAGGGAAATTACATATATTAATGGATCGTTAGATACATGGCTCGTTCCCTTTATCACTACCTCTGCAGGACGTTTGATAGTACGACGAAACTCTTTACGACTTGTCCACCGTTGCATCAACATTTTTGTTAATGGAACTGACAATGAAATTCGTAGTCCATTGGAAGTAGTTTATATACAGAACAGTGTGAAACGAGGATATTCCCTACTTTCTGCTGTTCATCGGGATATTCGGCTGATTCGTCGTCTTCCCGAGCACTTAAGATGCCATCAATATCCGTGGTTATAATTAACAATCCTGCAGCCCTTCTTCATTTATTTTAATAATTAAATTACCTTATATGACATATTTACTATTTTTGTATTGTATTTTTTTTTACAACAAAATATTAATAATTGACTTCATTTTCACTGTAAAAGATGATAACTTAGATCGGTATTCTGATTCTTTGACATTTATTAAATACTTTTCTGTAATACTTAATGACGGGTGTTTAAATAAAACGTTCTCTATCTTTTCATTTCGTTTCTTTTTTTCTATGCATTTTATAAACATGTCGTAAACTTTGTTTTCTTTAAGCCCCCCCCTTTTTTTAATATATATATATATATATATATAGACTTTTTAAAATACACATTTACAGAATTTGCTTTCGAAGGTAGTTCATTAAATATATGTTTATTTTTTATTTTTCCAGATTGATATAAGTACTCATTGTTTTGTCTTCATTCACTTTTGACGTGTTTCATCTTGCTCCTCATTTACATATTTTATCCTATATAACACAGTATCACCCATATAATACATTACAAATTGCAATTTTAAGCTAACGTTTGGAAATTATTTCCCATCCCTTAAAACACTCTTCCAGAATGGCCCAAAAAATGATCTCTGAAATGTAAGTATAACTTTATCACAGTCTTCTTCATTGATACATGTACTTCTCTCTCTTTTATTGCATCCTTAGTAAGATTAGTTTTATTGTTTTATAGGTTGATTAAAAATCCACAGCTCCGCACTACATATAAAGATTTGCAAAGGTTTGATTAACCTCCTCCTCCTTTTTATCTTACAGATGCTCTTTCGTTATATTTATCATACTTTAATAATTCGTTTCATTTAAATTTACAGTGACGAAGACTTGATAGACTTATGCTCTGAAACAACGCCTTCTTATGGGTATTTTTATGCACACAATTTATCCTATTTTGTATATCAGTCTTTATATTTTCATTATTTATTTTTTTACGAATATATATACATATATATTTCAGCTCACCCTCGGAAGCATCTCTGTTATCTGTATCAACCATTACAGGGTATTTCCACTATTATGTTATCTCACTTTTTTTAAAATAACGATAAAGCATTTCCCATTTGTTAACACATATCTTTTTTTCTTTTTAAAAGGAGGTTCTCCCCTTACCAGTCATCAATACCATCTACGGAGTCAAGGTATTTTTTTAAATAAAACTTAATTTCACTATTATTTTAAAAAAAACTTTTTTAAAAAATAATTTTTTAAATATAAACTTTTATTTTATGATCTTTTTTTTGTTACAGATCATCGTCACCAGGATCTCCTATAGCTTCCTCTCAAAGGTGAGAATGTTTAGACTTTTCTTATTTTTATCCCGAATAAGGGTTTCTTATTTTTATCCCGAATAAGGGTTCTTTTAATTTTTACAATTATCGTTCTTGTTCAATGTGTAATCTTTATCTTTCTTTTCTTTAGTTCGAACACATTCTCGCATGATGAGGAGCTTGAAACTCGTGTTGATGTAACATCGGCAAAAAATAATCAATTACATGCGCTTCAACAGTTAGAGGAAAAATTAATTTGTGACTTGGACAAAAAAAAATCGGAGAAGTGTTTCCTCGTACATGAACTTCAAACTGTAGATAGCGAAATACAAAAACTTACTACAGACATTGCCGTGTTACAAAGGGATATTAATAATTTAATGACACAATTAGGATATCAGTGAGCTTTAAAATTACCCGGGATTTACAAGTAGTGCATATTTATTTTCAAGTGACTATACGTTTTCTCATATATATTTGGACTTTATAAATTTCCCATTTAAGGTACATGTATCTTTTCATTTGTCAAATTCATTTACTTAGTATATCATCTTTTGAAATATATTTAACTCACTATTATAAACAACATTATTTCAATAAAAAATATCACTTACTTTTATCTTTGTTCATTCACCTCCTTTCCTTTTTTCTCTCCTTCATTTGCAACTTTTTTTGACAGTCAAACATACCCCTTCGATTTTTATTTATATATCTATCGCTATTCACCCGTATTTGATTGACTGTTTTATTTTTCCTTTATATGTACAAACTAAGGTGTGAACCTTTTATTGAAACACTTACTTATATTTATTCATATATATACCATGAACAAAGTTTCATTGTTTGTCAAATACGTTTTGATACCAGAAATGTATTACTTGTTTGTAATATACATTTTGAGACCATATTCATTATATAAAAACTATTGCATCAAATCCCAATTTGAATGAAAAAAAAATGAAGTCATTACTTTCTTTCAATTTAATAGAAGTTTTTGATTTTCTTGTTAAAACAACGGAACGTTCTGATGAATTCCATCTTGAAATTTATAACCTTTCCGTCTATTAAAATCGAAATATAATTCCTATTTTTGTTCTTCATATGTCTGTCCGTGTATATTTCTTTCTTTATCCATTAAGATCCTGTATTTTAACTGATAAATACTGATACTGTCAACATTGTTTTTTATGAAATCCAAGATATTGTCACAAAACTTTTAAGAATGCTGTCTGATAATTTCATTGATGATCCTCATGCGCTCCGTCAAATGATTCCACTCTAAAACTCGTAAACTAATACCGTCTTTAGTAGGACAGAGTTTAACCTGGTTATATGTGGGGCAATATGGTTTCGGTAGATGTGGGTTATAGTATGGAGCTGAAACAAATTTTCTTAAAGTTACACATTTGTATGGCGAGTACACTTGGATGTACGTATCATCACCTAATCGACGAAAAAAGTTTATTTCATTTTCTTCATTTATCAGTTGATGTAATGACTCCGTTGCAAATCCTACCAACAAATTTAAGTTATTCCACTGATGAATGCTTAACACAATTCCTACTGGATTTTCTTCTTGCTTATCAGATAATTCTCGTATAACGATAGACATTTTGTTCTCTTCTTTTAAAATTCTTACATCTCTGTTGTTTCCAATATCTACAGAATACAATTCCACCATGTTTTTTTCTCGTTCTTGTTTTATAAAACTTTTCCTTTAATAAATTACTATTTGCATTCTTAATTTAGACTTATTAATAAATATTAATAATACCCCTCTCCAACTGCTCTGACGTTTATTTGCTCCGCCTTTTTAAAGTTAGACCCTCCCCCGTTTTATTTATGAGGGCTATCCGAATATATTTGTGGGTACAAAGACCTCTATTCATGGGGGCTATACGGACACAGCAGGGGGCTATACAGACACTATTGCAGCATAAGCCGCGGCTTGTTTTCAAGGTTTTAGGGTATCAATAAAACAGATCACAGTGTAATTATCCTAAATGTAAATTTTTAAACATTTTGAAAATATAGGCTTTGGTTTTTAGCTCTACTGGTCGGAGTCCGTCGTCCGTCCGTATGTCTGTCTGTCCGTCTGTAAACATTTTTTTAAAAATTCACTTCTCCTACAGTTTTAGGCTGATTTTAATATTACTTGGCACACAAGTAGACTACACTAAGATGCTTAATTCTGTATATCAGTTATTGATTTCGATGAACGCTGTTGCCATGGTTACTAAAAATAGATATTTCTGGGAAGTACTTTCCAAACGCTACTTTTCCTACAGTTTTCGTCTGATTTCAATATAACTTAGCACAAAAGTAAATTACACTAAGAAACATAATTCTGTGTATCGGTTTTTGATT